CCCGGCCTGAGGCTGAATTTCCCTCTGGGAATCCATCAGGACACCGGGATTCCATCCCAGCCCTGCGGAATTCCCGGTCCCTGATCCCCCCCGGGATCCTGCAGGGATCCTGCCCTGCCGGGGCACGGGGAAAGGAAGGGCTGAATTTCCCTCTGGGAATCCATCAGGACACCGGGATTCCTTCCCAGCCCTGCCGGGGTGGGGAATGGCTGCCTCTGGGGAGGGGGATTCAACCCAGCTGGATGTTCCCATGGATTTGGGGTGGCCGAGGGGACCCTGACAGCTCAGCTGAGCCCCAAAACTGTCCGGTCCCTCTCCAAGAATGCTGGAAGCCCCTGCCCTTCCCACATAGGCTGGGGGGATTTGGGGCTGAGAATTCCCTTCCTGCACAGTCTGGGGGGATTTGGGGCTGAGAATTCCCTTTCTGCACAGTCTGGGGGGATTTGGGGCTGAGAATTCCCTTTCTGCACAGGCTGGCGGGGATTTGGGGCCGAGAATTCCCTTCCTGCACAGTCTGGGGGGGATTTGGGGCTGAGAATTCCCTTCCTGCACAGGCTGAGGGGATTTGGGGCTGAGAATTCCCTTCCTGCACAGGCTGAGGGCATTTGGGGCTGAGAATTCCCTTCCTGCACAGGCTGGGGGGGATTTGGGGCCGAGAATTCCTTTCCTGGAGAGGGTGGGGGGGACTTGGGGATGAGAATTCCCTTTCTGCACAGGCTGAGGGGATTTGGGGATGAGAATTCCCTTCCCACATAGGCTGGGGGGATTTGGGGCTAAGAATTCCCTTCTTGCACAGGCTGAGGGGGATTTGGGGTCGAGAATTCCCTTCCTGCACAGGCTGGCGGGGATTTGGGGCCGAGAATTCCCTTCCTGCACAGTCTGGGGGGGATTTGGGGCTGAGAATTCCCTTTCTGCACAGGCTGAGGTGATTTGGGGCTGAGAATTCCCTTCCTGCACAGGCTGAGGTGATTTGGGGCTGAGCTCCCTGAGCTCTGCACAGGTCCAGCCGAGGGCAGATCCAATTTTCCCCACGCCAGGACGTGACGGGGTTTGGAATATCGAGAGGGAACCAAAGGCTCCCGTTCCCTCATTCCACTCCAACCCTGCAGAGCCCTCCCGGGCCCGCGTCCCCTGACTTCTCCCAGCTGCAGAAACTCATTTTCCAGGCCACTTTTGAACTCTGGATCC